GCAATAGAAAGATAAAATGCTTTTGACAAAATGAGTTTTTAGTACATCTTTTATAGAGATCATCTGGACCAAATAAAGTTGTGAACAGTACTTGCTACAACCTATTTCCTGCTTTCTGCAGCAGGTGGTGGTGTGGAGCGAGGGACCCCTTGTTGAGCGGGGCTCTGTTAGCGGTGCACTGACTGCGGCGCTCGGTCCTGCCGCAACCCTCCCTGGGGTTCTTAGGGGTTCTCATCTCACAGGCCGTTTCTGTAAGGCATAAAGTCAGGTGGAAATTTAGCAATTTTCTGAGTTGCATTACTGAGTAATTCAGGTGTCTATTTATACATTAAGATAGAACCAGATAATATTTGCACACCTAGGCACCTAGCGAGAGGGTCTGCCGGCTGAGCTAGGTGGGTGCCCCAGACCTTCCCTGTTGTCACGCGCTGGCGTGGACCCTGGCCTGCCCCCACGCCTGCCCCCGTTCACGCCCGTGCTTTCTTTTTGGGTGTGGGAATGATTGGGAGTGGCAAATCTCTATTTTATTACTTTCTATGTAAGCTCACACTTAACATTTTTTTTCAGAAGGAATATAGGAATACATGCTCGCTGTAAAATCGCAAACAATATAGAAACGTGTGAAGAAACAGCTTGCCAGGTCCGGCCTTGTTCCAATTATTTTACAAGAATTAGTTCATTTAATCCTCGCCGCAATCCTATGACTGAGGAGCAGGCACTGTCATCGACTCTACTTTAGCGATGTGGAAATGGAGACACAGAGAGGTTTAGGTGTTTTACCCAAGTTGCACAGCACAAGTGGGAGCAGGATTTGAACCCAGGCAGTCCAGCCCCAAAGTGAAAGCCCTTTCTCACCCTCTGCCCATCCCAGAGACAACACCCTCAGCAGTGTGGTGTCTGCACATCGGACACATTCGTCCATGCGTAAATGCAGAACTTGGGGTTTGTTCTTTTTCTCCTTTTAAAACACAGATGGGACACGACTGTGGGCACTGTCTCATTTCCTGTTTCTCTGCAGTGGCCCCCGGCCACATGGCACCATCACACAATTAGCCACTCCTGACCATGGCATTTAAGTCGCTTCCCACATTTTGTCATAACAAACAATGTCGCAACTATCACCATCGTTTCTAAGTTTTGTGTGTACTAGTGGATATTTCTGCAGAAAATTCTTCCTGGAGGTGTATTGCTGGGCAAAGGTTTGAACATCTTAATTGGTGACCGATGTTAACAAACTCTTCCCCCAAGTGGTAGCACTTCCCAGCACCCAGCCCTGCCTCAGAGTGGCCCACACCTCTCAATGCCACGTGCTACCAGACTTCCGAGCATGTATCTTTACATTTCAATTCTCAACAGATTCACACATGCAACTGGAACCCAACCCTAAGGGGCCGGGCGCGGTGGCTCACGCCTGTAATCCTAGCACTCTGGGAGGCCGAGGTGGGCGGATTGTTTGAGCTCAGGAGGTCGAGACCAGTCTGAGC